AAAATTAATTACATTAAATCAGAAGCTTTTAAGCTACAATGAAGAATGCAAGACTTTAACAAGTTAAGAGATATTTTTCTTATTGCGTAACTGAAGTTGTTTCTTTTCAAAAGCATATTTCGATCTGAGATTAAAATTCATAATGATTATTTGTTCTTTCAGACAGATTCACATGTGACTGCTCGATGGTAAAGTAACAAAATAAATGGATTTGGTACTAAGCAGTACAGTTCAAGCAGATAAAACGAGTAAGTTAGCACTTCTGGCGAAGTACTTTTGCAAAGTTTTCTAGTTTACAATTTTAAATGTTCACCGTGCGTCTATCATACTTTTGCCTTTATTTCTTGTCAAATTTTAATTTTTGATTACTTTACGTAAAATTCTCGAATTGAATGATTGCTACATCCTTCCTTTGAAGTGACAACTTTTGAACTTTGTCATTCTTTCGTCAAAAACTAAGCTTCTGTACAAGTAGCGAAAAATCCTTTTTCTCATTTTTTGTTTTTGATTGATCTAATCACACTTACTGTTCACAAAGCACATAAAGAATGCCTGCGTTCAAAAATTTACAAATGTGCAACAATTTGGATAAAGCGATTTGGTAGATAACTATCACGGATAATTGCGATAGATACACACTATAATTTACAATCATTTTATTATTTTCCTGATAAACTTTCAAAATTTATTTGTGCTCGAACTTACTGCTCAGTCACTGCGCTAAAATCCGACTATTTGTGCTGGGAATCATAGATAAATTTTGCCTGACTTGCATCTATTCAAATTACCTCCCCGACCTTGCAAGACTCAATTTAAATAGATAATATTTAATTACGAAAATCTGTTGGAAATATGAAAAAAAATGAATAAATTGTAGTAATTATTTTTCTTTCCGTGTTAAGTACTGTTTTTTTTCAAATCCAAAATTCAGTATATTCAAATTGCTTAACGTATATTAAATGCAATGAAATAAGTTTCTGAATTCAAGTTGTGGTGTCAGTCACTCACGTTTTTTACGTATAGATATTGTAGAAATAACTGTAAATAATATTAATTTGTTATTTAAAGTGAATCAATAACTTACTTACTGCAGCTATTTACTCTTAATATTTTTAATTTTGATGTTTACTTTTCATATAGTCGCTTTTATCGGATTAAATGAACAATTATTTTCTAGTAGTTTTACATGTTTAACTTTTTGTATTTTCTTTTATTACAAGTTGAATTGAATTATTGTTATGTTAACAACTTATGAACAAAAAATAATAGTAATCACAGTTAACAAAAATCTCAAATTGATGACAATTAATCCCTTCTAACTAATACAGATTATACCGATGGATTAATTTTATTTATGGGTAGATTTGTGGATTACTCGGCGTTGTTCAGACCGTTTGTAAGGATGAAAGCTTCACTTGCAGTATTGAACAAAACTTTGTTTGCTGAAGACCACAGGGACAAAAATTTGTATATTTTGCTTTGTAAGCTTATAGAAATACAAACTGACAAACGATTTGCCTTCTTTTCCACCACTGAAATATTTCACTTTCGTTAAGTAAATAATGTTCAGTTAAGTATGTTCTCGTCATCGCTACGCGTTGCTAACTTTTAGTTCTTTTCAGTAAAGTAACAAGTTGCTTGCTTACTTTCATCAGGTCTTAGCTTTTTTTTTCATCGGAATGCAAGTAAGTAAGTAAGTAAGTAAGTAAGTTAATAATCGGTACTTTCACCTTTATGCTTAATCGTATCTCAGTTGTAAATGTTGATAGCAAACTTTGAATTAAAGTCATTACATATCTGCTTCCACTTTGTCTTCATCTTTAACTAAATTATCAAAACAAGTAAGCATTATTTTGCGTGAAAATTCGCTGGCAAGAATTATTGTTTGTTCCTTCAAGTGTTGCTCTAAATGAAAAACTGCTATAATTTGTTCAGGAATGCTTATTGTTTTAGTTGCGGTCGTTTGTTCAATTGCTGAATAGTAAAAGCAAATTTATAAGAAGGAGTATTCACTTAGATATGGATAATTTATTTCTGTAATGCCTGATGAAGCCTCGAATTATCAACATTTATCATCAAAGCGTGATAATGATTTTTTGGCGCTTTTGCCAGATACAACAATTAATCGTACACATAGTGCGTGGTCGGTAACTGACAACAGCGTGTTGCCTGAATCGCTGAAGTTCTCACGTTCTAATATTCTGCAGCACCTTGGATATTCATTATCACAATCAGTTGAATCTCTAAATCACCCTCAAATGTCAACACAAGAGCAGATTCTGAAGGAGCCAGACTCCACTTTACTTTCCTTCGTTACGTCACCGCAATTCGATGATCGTCGATATCGTTTTCTACGAACTTATACACCTACTCCGTATCGTTCACCTTTCAATACGTCGACCATTTCATTACCTGAAATCAAGGAAGTAACTAATGAAGACAACGATACTTCTAGCACTACTAGTAGTAAAAGTTCCTTGCAAGCTCATAAAATAGTAAGTAATTATTGTAATTAAAGTAGTGAAAGTAACTGAAAAGGTTATATTAGCACAAACTTCAGACTAACAAGTAATTCATTCGAAGATAGCTGTTATCTTTGCCATAGTAGCCATTTTCTAGTATAATAGACAGACATATTTTCACTACTATGACAATTTAATAGTAATTAAAGTACTTCTGTACATGCACGACATTCATAAGAATCACGATAGATAAATTCAGAAATTCTTTTTTTTCTGACTGAATCCCATCGTTGTTGTTTTCTTTACTCTCATATGAATTTAGCATTTGCAAGTGCTTAACTGAAAGAATTGTAAATATTTTTCATGAAATTAGGCTGTTTTGCTCAGAAATAAATGCTAGCAATGTGGTATTCTAGTTTCGCTAGAAAAGTAAATAGTTGAGTACAGTTCAGTTTACTTACTCGCTTATGTCAAGCGATGAGAGAGTGAGTATTCAACAAGTGTTCTCTAAGAGAACTGTTTCAGTCTTCTTCAACACATTCATTCCTTCTGATTCATTCCTTCTGAGATTTTCGCACTTTTCAACAAATTATCAATAATTTTGATAAATTTTTTCTCTTCTCTATTAAGCCTAAGCGATATTTGTCATAAAGAAGAAGTATTGCTTGAGATTTGTTCCTTACGAAAACAGAACGCAAATTCTTGAAGTAAGAATACATAAGTCCTCCACTTACATATATATAACTTACTGTATTAAGATTGCAGACTGTGGTCGTATGAGTCACTAACTAAAACGAATATTTTGAAAGTAATTGCTCAGACTACCCTTTCATTTTCTTGTTAAGAGTTTTAAACTTACTCTCAGATAGCGGTAACAATTTTTCTTGGCTATTTATTGACTTTAGGGTCAACAATCGACCGGTATCAGTAAAAGTTCCATTGACATGAAAACTCAACACGATGTAGCTGAAAATTCAAGCACTGCTCATCAACAGAAATCGAATGCTCCTCAGCTTAACTTTGTAATAGATCAAGTCAGTACTACTGTATTATTTCGTAGAAGGTGCAAAAACTTTTAAAATGAAACTTCAAATGTTGCCGGAATTATCAATAGATATTTGCATTGCAGCCTTTGGTTTCATGGGTAAGAGCTCACGCTGAAAATATAGCATCTTCCACGCAGGAGGCGCAACGATATAACTTAAAAAGTCAGAAACCTGCTGCTTCTATTGTTACAGTTAAAATCACTGATCCAAGATCAAGTCAAAAAATGAGGAGCGCAAATGTGAATCAAACATATCGCAAAGTCTGTCTTTTTTATTTTGTAGATGCTAAATACAATTCTTTGTTAAATACTTTCGGTTTTGAAATCAATTAAATTTTGTCATCAATTAAATAAGTGCTAACATTACTGTATCAATCTCATTCTCTTTTCCGCGCCAGAATTTTATGCCTCTCAAATTCAATGATTACGTATCGAGACCTTCACGTAAATACTGCCTAATTTTAAAGAATCGGTTTTAATTTTGATTAGCTTTGACTTAAAATTATGTGCTTTGAGTAATTTATTTATGGTATTGTGATCTGTTCAAATACTTTGTGAGTTTGATATTGTGAAAACTTGTGCTTGTCCTCATTTTCGAGGTATTTCCTTTTCATTTCGTGATTTGTCCAGAATTCAAAGAAATAACTAAACATTCTTTTGAAAGAAAGCAATTTTCAGGATATCTCAGAAGAAGCTAACTATGTATTTCAAGATGCACTCGAATCTCCTCGCAGCTATTCAAGTGATTCTAGCAAACAGCCAAAGTCGATTCTGAAACAACCTTCGGTTCCTTTATTCTCATCATCTGTTCACAGCGAAGGCGATGATACTCTTGAACGTCGCGTGGAAAGAGTTCACATCAATGAAAATGAAAATTCTGAAGTACTGCTTAAATGTATTATAAAATATAATATTCAAAATAAAAAATCAATCATAATATTACTTGATAGTATCCGTTCACGTAGTTCAACAACTTGTTTATATTAAAAAATGAGTATTGGTTTGGATATTATTAGCATTCATTTTCTACGAATAAAACTTATATTGAGCAAAATCTTTTTTATGAAAGATTGCATATGAATTTTTAATTAGTAAATTCAGAAATAATGCAGTGTGTGAAAATTTTGCTCTGAACTGATTTATTTATGCTTGTTTAGGAATGGATACTAAAAAACCGTAATCAAAATCAGCCGAAAAATTTTTCTCGACCGACCGGTTTAGGTACACATTTCACTAGTGAATCTCAAAAATATTACCACGAGATACCGAAGAACATGAAGCAACACTCAGAAACACCTACCCATTTACCTCAAGCTTCATTTAACGGGCCATTTTTCACTCTCGAAGAAGTTCAAACTAGACACAAAAGGTATAATAGTTATTTAAGCATAATAAATTGGTATTAAGCGATTTGCACAATAGAATTATTAAAAATATTTCATATACGAAATACGAAAGTTATAAGTAAATTTTCTCAGTTTTGGCAAAATTTAGCCCTTAAAACTTAAAGATTTTTCTACACCAAAATATTGTCGAATTAAAACTTGCTAAAATTTTACGAAAAAATGTTTACTTCTAATTCAATGAGAGTAAAAATTTTAAATCGGCTTTAAATGTCAGTTCTCACGATTTCCATTAACAATTTGTTACTAATTTTCAGGGCAGAAATTTCTGATGAATACCATATGATTAGTGAAAATCAGCGCTTAGAAGATAATCCTCCGACAACTCAAAACATCCGACAAATTTCTTCTGAGAAAGAATCGAAGAATCACCAACAAAAGTTATTTTTCGTGCTTTATTTGTATATCAGCAAAAAAAATAGTTTTTTCTCACAAAAAAAGCAAACAAATATTAGTACATCAAATTTAATCACCACTTTTGTATTATTCTCTAATTTTTATTGAATTATTTAGGCACAGTAACCGATCCAAATCTGTTTCCATAATAGAAATGAACGCGGAAGAATCTGAAAAAGTAAGCTAGTTGAATTGATGATAAGTTGAAAATTTATACTCATCAAAATTCATACTCACTATTTGATTCTTTTAGAAATGTGCAAATAATTTCAGTTGAATTTCGAAAATAAATTTCATTCTGATTTAGTTCTGAAAGAAGAGCTTAATTAGATTAAAAAGCTGTATGAAACGATGAAAGATTTGCAGAATAATGAAATTAAAGAGAATATTTTGCACTGGTCAACACAAACATTGAAAGGGCAACGTGAGCGGGCAAGGTCAGTTCCACCATCACTGAAAACAAGAAATATTATGGATCCCGATCAGATTGATGAATATCGTCGTCAGAAGAAACTTGAACTTGAAGCAATGAGACGTAGAGAAGAGGAAACTATGTTCTGGAGGCAAAAACAGGTACAAATCATATTCAGATCATCTGATCTATTTTTTTGCTATCGATGAAAGTTGGCAAAATTCATTCTGGTTTTTTTAATTTTGGCAAGACCGGAAAGCAAGACAAGTTTTCAAGAAAATGATCAGATTGATACTTACAGCTTTCAGGCTCGTTTTTTGAAGATGCAAGAACAACTATTCTATGAGCAATTTCATGCTGACAAGAAAGAAATCAGTGCTAACTTTAATGATTCGCATGAAGAATTGCGACTTATTGATATCAATGCACAGAGACGACAGCAACAACAATACGCTCAAGTTTGTCATTTTGTTTATAAAATCAAAAAACGTTTCCTGGTTCGAAAAAACTTCACAGAGTAATAAAATAGCTATCAGTCGAATTACTACTGCAAAGGTTTTTACAAAACAATTACTAAAGTTTGTAGTGAACTGTTGTTATTTCTCAATAATTTATACACTTTGTTAATTGCTGCAGTCATGTCATTTACTAAATTGACTTTAATTTTACTTAATTGACTACTAACTGTTAAATTTCTTATGCAAAAGTTTTTAGTACGAAATTCGCTAATTCAAATTTCAGTACGAAATTCGCTAATTCAAAGGAAATACTACATCTTATATTTTGTTTGAACTTAGTCTAACTTAGTACAGTTTTCAATGTCGCCTCAGTTGAATGTTTTTTTGGGAAAAAATAACAAAAATTAACTTTGCAGTAATCCACTTGGGTATTATGTAGCATAAAAAACTGATATTTGAAGCAATGTTTGCATAAATTCGGCTTGATTCTCTTTATATATTATACCCTAGGCATATTTAAGTTTTTTGATTGTAGGTCAAAAATAAGTTGATATTATATTCAAAAATAAGTTGATATTATATTACATTTCAGGAAAGTATAGAACCACAGTTTATACGTGTGTATGAAACACGGCCTATTATGGCAGTATCAGAAGTTAGTGGATCTGGAAGATTAGTTTCGACACCAAATCAAGTTACCTGGAAACGAATGTATATTGTCGATTCGCCCAAACCAGTTGCTAAAAACGAGATTATTACAAGTGAGCAATTACTCGAGAAAGAACGGTTTGATATCGACTTGTTGAAGGTCATTATTAGTTCAAACTATAATCTCTATTAACCTTTTGTGTAAATATTTGATCAACTTTTTATTTTATTTGATTCAGTTCATAGAAGAATACTATAAGTGAAACTATCTCACTTCAGTATTATTCTAAACTGAAAACTGTATGAAAAGTAATTAGAAAATGTGCTAATTATTATTCAATTAATCTGCAAATATAAAGTGTGTATGCTTTTTCTAGACTTGAAAATTAGTTGTTTTAAGCGTCGAGAAGCATTCATCGAAAAGCCGAAAATAGAGCCAACAATTTTTCGGACTGGAAAACGCTGGAAACCGCCACCAGAACAACCTTTCATCTGGCCAAATATGAGGATATTGGCAAACTCTGAAAAAGTTATCGAAAGTAGCAGTAATTATTCTACAGGTGCAAATAATAGTTCTCTGCTCAGATTTTTTCACGTATGTTCTGTTATTTGGTGAATATTTTTAGTCCTTTTATGATTCCTTCAAGCATTGCAGATAGTGCTCCAGCTCGCACCGTTGAAGGTGCAGAATTTCGTTGGCAACCATTTGTTTACGATCCAGAGTACAAACGAGAACATAAAAATTTTATTGTTGAAGATTCTCCACCAAGCACACCACGAGGATTTGGTTTGTATTAGCTGTAAAAAATTATTGAGCAATTAATTTCAATCGAAACTTTAATCTTTTTATTGATGGCTCGATGAGTATTATTATATGACAGGACCTGGTTCCTTGGATGAACCAGCGAAACGACAAATCAAGCATTTAATTCAGCCATTACCAGACGGAAGTCATCGACCGAAGCCAGCATTTGGAGGTCCACGTGCTACTCCGTCTGGAGGTTTCCATCCTCATGCCCCAAATGCTGTTAAAGTAATATGTTAAATAATTTGCGATTAATTTTGACGACGTTTTATTTTATTGCATTGGATTTTTATCGAGATATAAAACCAAGCGGATGTAGGATTTGAAATTGAATCAAATATTCAGATTATTCAAATGTAAATCAATATGAGTTATGAATTTAAAATGATCGATAAGACTTTGTGCAAACTTTAATACCCGAGTCAAATTTAGGTTTTGAGGAAGAAACTCTCGCATAGTACGAGTTCACTAGAAACAGGTGATGTTGATGCTGACAAAGAAGTGGAAATTATCCATCAGAGAAGGTTTCATCGATTGGGGGATCAATCACCTATCATCACTACTTCAGGTTCAGGTTCATGTTTATCTGACATGAAATTTCATTAAAATATGCATAAGCCAAAATTGAAATGCTGCTTTTAATTCAATGTTTTATTTTCGCAAGTAGAGTTCTCAACATTTGTCATTTTAAATTGAAATTTGTATGCAATAAAACAATACTTGTAGATATAGCTGAGTGGGAAAAGATTTACGACTTGCCACCTCACTCGTCTACGATCACACCACGTGACACGCCTCAGAATGTGAATGTACGTGGTAAACTAGCGGCATTTGAGCATGCTTTACGACAATCTACACCATTCATGCAGCATCGTATCAACGTGAGTGAACCACATCGTCGTCCAACTTCTTCCATGCGTACGTTGAATATAGAAAGCAATTTGCATTCACCCAAAAATGCACAATTCGCTCGAAATGACCAGGTTAGTTTAGTATTTGACTTCATTTAAATCATTTACTAAAACTTATAAAAAATATTAATAATGTGTAATAACATTTCATATACAGAAATGGCAGTAAGTTCGTTTTAATTTGAAATAATCATGCATATCAGAGCGTTGTAATGTGCGAATGTGCCATTGAAAATATATGCCTCAAATTGGCATAAATATTTTGACCGTACTAATTAATCCTTTTTGGTATTACATCTTAATTAATTAGAAAGTAATTTAATCAGTTACGCTTATGACAATTTCTGTATAAAAATATGATTTAAATCCTGCAAAGAAATGGTACGTAAACGAAAGAACAAGTGGTCAGTTTAGATCAATTCAAGGAATTATATTATCATTCAAATTCGTTTGCTATTTTATCAATGAAATTATCAGAAGATTGCTATTTTTAGTATTTGCGACAGAAAGCTTCCAAACAACAGCAATCTGAAACAGTGTTACTTTCACCAACTTCAACACGTACTGAAACTTCTGAGAGTGTTACTCCATCTCGTCAAGTTGAATTTAGAAATTATTTTGAGGCGTTATTTTAAGCTTCTTCTCTCATATAATTTTTTGACAGAAAATTTTTTAGCAATAATTTTTGATAATGTCTTGGAAAAGTTTAGCATCGGCGATATGAACGACAAGCATCTAGCAGCAACGGTTTCTTACTTCGTCGAATGGATCAGCGAGAAAAGGTACGTCCTATGATCAGTGCGAACAATTATCAACAAGAGCAATCACGACGGAAAGCATTACCTCAAGATTATACAAATAACAACAATACTGCACAACAACACAACATAATTCAATCAGCACCCTCAGTTCACCATCGACAACTTGGACCACGCGTATTTCCTGCACGTCGTTTGAAACGCATACCTCTGGAGTTTTCAAACAATCGACGTGATCATTCTATCATTGTCACTGAAGCACAACCCTCACGAATTATTCGAACGAATCATCAGCGATAAGCGGTGATTTTACTTCATTATCACAACCTTTTCACCTATGACTTTTTTGTAAATTATTGCTGCGAAATATTTGTCCGTCGTGACTAACTGCGTATTTTCCGTCATTGTTTTTTTCTCACGTCATTTATGTCGAATGTTTGCTTTATTTGAAATATAATTTGCAGAAAAAATTTCTGTCATTGTATGAATGATTTAATTTTGATCAAAGTTAGTTTTACTAATCATTGCTAACACGTCGATTCATCTTTGCACTTATTTTATTCACTTTTTCTGTGTTTTATTCGCAACTTAAAGTTTATTTACATAAATTTTTAATATTCCACCATGTTTTCGTGTGAATTTCAACAAAATTGTAATCACAGAAACAAATCCAAAATCTCCACTTGCAAATTTTGAAATTGATCTGTTCTTTACTACTCTTTACTACTTTTTATTACTTTTTGTATTCATCTCTTTAACAAATTATATGTAAATTATTGGCCGAATTGTTTGCAAGTCACTATTTTTTAAATATAGAACACAAATGCAATGATCTTTAGAATCTTGATAATGTTCGAGAAATTAAGATTTCAGATGCTGTTTTGAAAGAAACTAGAAAGCAATAATTGAGAAAAACTTGTTGTAATGGTATTCATGAAAATTAAGTCTCGCCCATGCACTCTTCAATCCATTCTTCAACTTGTGCAAGCTTTTAATGTTCCTTACAGTACGCAAATTTTTTCACTGTCATTGCTCAGTACAATCCTTTATTTACACAAATTTGTGTCATAAATTTTGATTGCAATAACAAATTCATTTAATCAACAAATTACTGTGAAATTTGAAGCTTTGATGCTATTCAGAGCAGTAAATTGATGTGAAATTGAAAAATTCATAAGTAACCTAACGTTTCAGTTAAAGTTAAATTACCACTTATTCTATCTTATTCAGTCAGTACTGCTTTATTGTTTATTGTAATGCTGTTTGCTTATTAATATTGTTTAGTCTATTTGTCACTGCAGTATTTGAAATTGAATGTGACAATAAAATTCAATGGCATTTCTTGTGATATAGATTTTATCCTTGTATGAATAGCTTTTTTATCAGTAAATTAGTGATAAAATAAAATTGTGCTGTTTGCGTACTATATTGTTTAGGTTTGGAGCTTCAGTGAAGAAGAAGGCTGAGAAGGGTAAGAATTTTTTTTAATTCCATCAATTATTTATTCTTACTTGTGATCCCAAAATACTAGTGAATCTTTGGGATTAGTACGGTTTTTTAGATTTTCGTGCTTACTTACTTCGCATACTTTTTTTCCAATTATTGTTCTTAATAGTAAATCCTTTCAGCATTTCAGATTCCACTTTCAAGCTAAGTTTGGTCTCAGCTCCAACTTTTTTTTCATTCTGCGTACTCTTTGTAGCACTAACAAAGCTAACAGCCGGCATGAAGAATAACCAATTTTCTTAGTTTTAATGAAATGCATTAATAAAGCTAAGAATTTTAACGCTTCATTTATAATATAGCTTCTGTCAAAAAATATAAGTAGTGTAATGATTGTATTTTTTCAGACAACAATCGCAGGACCGAAAAAAGTAAGTTTTCTTGTAATTAAATTTTAATTTCGAGTTTCATTTCAAACTTCGAATTTGTGGGCTTAGAAAAATAAGATTGCAAAAGCCAGCAGTGCATTTCTTAACGTAGAACGCTAATCTCCCAATAGTCGTTTCAAATTTCTGCCTACTTATAAAAATTTAAGACTTCAGAAATTATTTTCCTATTATTTATTTTTGCAAATTTACATTTTGGTAATAAAACGTTTTTTAATTGATATATGCTGCAATAAGCATTTGATGAAGCAATAAGGGATTAGAGGCAGAAGTATGTTTTCAGAACGATGACTTAGATCAGTTAGCTCGCTTGAACGAGAAACTTTTGGAGCGATCCAGAGGAAGACGAACGGATTACAAACTCATCGATTCAGAAATCGTGAAAACTGCTCCTGAGCCCATTCCTGTCCCTGTCAAGGTTTGCATTCTTAATACACCATTTTTCAAATTATAAACTTCTAATTTACTCAGGTGGACGGATACTGCAGCCACAAATATTTTTATGTCAAGCGATTTTGTTGTACTAATATTAATTTGTTGGGCTAAACTTATTAGCATATCAAACACTGATATTTTTTTTCTTGGGTCAGCTTATGGCAAGAGATTTGCATAAAAGATAGAATAAGTGAAGTAAATTGACTTCAACGAAGGACCATTTAAGACGTGAAAAATTACATTAGCTTAAACTTTGACTTCGTAAAATTTGTACTATGCGTGTCAAGTTTCATTTTTCATTCCATTAATAATTATTTATTTGCTATCAAATAAAAATTTGAAATGTTGGAACCCTTTTAGGTTGCTTAATTTTTAATTTCAATTTCTAACACATACATTACTATACAGTAATCAGTACCTTTAGTTTAGCTTATCACTGAAATTCCACATTGTCATAATTTCAAATCATAATTATTCCTTATTCACTGCTATACGTCACTATACGTGATGGATGTGGCATTTCAGGATTCAATACGAAATGAGCTTATTTTGAAAAAGTATTTGATGAAGTCAAAACTTGAAGTTTTGAGAAAATTTAAATTATTAATTGATGATTTTAGATTGAACTGAAAGTGTAACAAACATTCTGTCGCTTGAGATATTTTGAGTACAGTTTTTGAAAAACATTTATATACTTATAAAAATTCCACTTAAACAAGTCAAGTTTGTGGTCGTTTTTGTATCAATGTTATTCTCTTCCTTTGTTATATTCGTGTTTTTTTGTCCTGTTTGCATTTCAGTAACGTTTCAAAGATAAGCCTTCGAATGTTTTATTTTTTGTGACTTTCCGTATTACTCTTTGGTGTGAAGCTAATTTGGGTAGTTTTGTTTGTTGCTTCCAGGAGCAAGTACGTGACCTGCTCGAGTCTCGAATTTCAAATGATACATCTGTAAATTCAACTATTCAACAACAAGATCGTTCCGGTTACGTTACGGTATGCCATGCTTCCTGGGGAATTACTTAGCATCTTAAGCGAATGCTTTCTTGTAGACAGAAGTAGAACGTTTTTCACGTTTGTTCTCAACTTTTTAATTTTTTTCTGGTTGCTGCTATTCGTTCAATAATTAGTTAAATATACATACCTTGTACCTAATGTTTCCATAACATTCGTTTTTTCTTCTATAATCTATTTGTTGTTGAAATTTTTTGTAAATTTCTGCTTGAAACAAACTTAAAGAATATTTTTACAATTTCCGAGGTTTACTTTTTGCTATTATTAACATTTGCAAGCGTAAAAACTGAACAGTTTCCATTAGTTTTTCATGTTTTAACGCTGATATAAATCATTTGCATATGAATAACTTTTATTTAAAAATAGATACAAAGCATTATGATGTTATTAATGCAACACGTGCATGCAACTTTCTTAATTTTAGGATGCTTCTTCAGCTACTTGGCAATTTTCTTCTCATTCATTTTCGCCTCGTTCCGTTGTTTCCGTGAACGGTGCCACAGGTGCTAGAGATGGTCTTCTCAAGGTACGTACTGATTTGTCGCCAGGATTATCACGTAACCTTTCACGTTCAAATGCTGCCGTACAAACTGCGCATATGGAGGTACTGCTTTTAGCTATTCCAAAGTTTTAATTTATTTTAGTCCCTATATATTTCAAGCATTTTGGCCTAACCTTTATGTGAAGGTTATGTGAAGTAACGGCACATTTACTTGAATTTTTTTGCATAGAGATGTTTCAAGGACTCCAAATCTTTTACTGCCTCAAAAAAGTGTCAATGAATTACAAACAATTTCATAGTAATACTTATAAAAGAAGTCTTAATTAAAGAATGAATCTGACTAATTTCTGTGAATTAAGAAACGAACTACTGGAAGAGTTTATTCTTCGCTCAATTTAGAATTATTAGAATCCATCGTACTACTTCAATATTTGTTTGTTTCAATGATTGACTTAGTTCTTAAGCAAAAATTCATTGCATTTAAAAAGCATGCGAGCTTTCATAAGTGATTTCAAGAAGACATTGACTTAAAGGGTATCAGGTTTCTTTCCGAAGAGTAGAAAAATTAAGTATTTTGAAGGTCCATCAATCACTGAAATTGCAAAGAAATTATTTCCATCTGAAGTTTGGTAATTTGGATATTAATTTTTTCGCATTCAAAATGCTTAAAATTGATAATAATTGCTTCTCTAGAGATTATTTAAACATGAACTGATCAAAATTACTGCTTGTATGTAGCATAATTTGAATGATTGACTTAGCTCTTTCCACTTCTTAGCTGACTTCTAGGGGCAAAGAAGTAATTGCTTATGCCTGATTAGCATTAATGCTCAAATACAAATATTATTTTTGTAAACGGACACTACTTCCCCTTACATTTTACAATTTAAGCAACTACTAAAAACCTTTTAGCTTGTCTTTGTGAAGCATTTAATTGAATTTGCTCTAAGCAATAATAAAATTTTTAACAAATTTAATCGATAACTATTAACTTATGATTAAATATCAGCGAGTGGTAAACATTAGACATTTATTACAGTTTTAAATGGCTAATTTTTGTTATAGTATCAAATTATACACACACACTATGCAAATGAAGTCAATTAGGCTTGAATAAAAACAGTGATAATATGTATTTGAATTGATATAGCAATTCAAAACATGAAAATGGAATAGAAATGAAGTGTGTTTTAATAAAATCAAGAATGATTGCACTGCGGGCAAATTTGTAATGTTTGTAATGAAGACAATAAAAGTAAGAGCTAAAAATTATTCAAAACTAGTTTTATTATCTTAGTGATTAATATTGATTGATTGATTTGTTGATCATTTCTTGCTCACTTGCTTTGCTGTTATAACACGTCAAATGGTGGCGTTTCATACGAATTTTCATCACACATTGTACATCTGAAAATCTTGTTTATCTATGCAGTTGACAGCAGAAATCTAATTTCTGTTTTATTTTTATCATAAGTTGGCAATGTTCAACCCAGCAAATTAATAACTTCTCACTTTTCAATCGGCAATCAATTTGAAATTATTGTTGCTTGCTCTTGAAAATTGTTCATGTTATGCATTCAGATTTATTCATTAAATCAGCGATTGATCAAAGGATCAGTCATAGTTAATCCAAAGGGTATCATCTATTTTGAGTGAATCTGAAAGTTTCTTGTCAAATCCCGAATAGTTGCTTATTTTTATTATTTGCATAAGAGGAATTTTTATCATTTTCTTTCTTTTTTGCTTGATTTTCATAGTTTCAAAAGCATTACACTGAAGAAAACAGCAATAATAATAATTGCTGTGAACTTATCTTAAAGTATAAAGTGTAAATTGCTTTTGATATTTAAAAATCTTGCAAAGTAGTTTATCTGAAGAAATGAGTGAATTCAGAGTGAGAAACAACATTGGCCATATATGCCGGCACGTTTGGGACCTGTAACAGATTCAGCGCAGTCCACAATGACTCGTGAATTCAACGAGAATTTCGAGAGGCGCATTGAACGTTATGCTTCGTTGCCAGCACTGAGTAGTGGTGACACACGTGGAACGCTAATTAAGATTAAGGTATTGTGTATGGTACTGTGATCAGATTACGACTTAATGATTTAATTTCATTAATGTTTAGTCCACACACTTCACATTACATTTCTATTTTTGTCAAATTCTGAACTTTTTGGAAAAAATTTTTGCAGTTTTTGTGGGAAAAAATTTTTCAGAAGAAGCAGGTTTTTTTTCGTGTATTCGAGTTTCTAATTTCAATTCATATTTTTATTCAGTTTTTCCTAACTCCTCATCTGCGAATGAATGCTTTTTATTTTTATCACTACAATGCTTGCAATTTTGTAAATTTGTAAACATCCAAAAAGTATTCAAATTTCTCACAGACTTCAGAATCTGAGTTTATGTATGTACGTCTATTACGAATCGTGATCAAAAAATTTATTCAAATAATTCGTTATTTAATATCAAAATGGCAGTTTTTTTGTGAAGTATAAATCTGTTTGTTGCAAAAAATATTACAGAGGTAATTATTTATATGTAAGCACTAGTTTAATACTTACAAAATTACTAAGTGCAAAAATCAATCATTTAATGCACTTATATCTAAAAATAATTAATTCTGTAGATGTTTCAAGCATTTGTAATAGAGTAATGTGAAACGTGAAACGTGAAATATTGTGAAGAGAATACGGACGAAAAACTGATGATGAAGTTCATGAATATCGCTAAGTAAATGTACTGTTGCTGATTATTTTATTTGTGCTCTATAATTTTGAGAACCTTGCTAATGTGTTTTTTTTGTTTTTCATTTTTGGCACTTTGATCAGGTAATTATTAAGTTTACTTTTACTGTAATTTACTCTCTAAATGAAAAATAGGTGGTAACATTTCAGAAGTTTACTAATATTTCTGGGAGCTTAACTTCTATAGCTTTCAAGCTGAAGTAGAGAAGTAAAATGTTGTAGGATGACAAACCTCGCGGTATAATGAAACGTCGAGAATTGGAAACAAAAGATCAAATGATGTATGCCGAGGAGCCGAGACAAATTGCTCGAACTGATCGTTGGGATGAAAGACAGATTATGTCCGCGGTAAATATTGATTTTTCGAATTTGATTACGAATGTAATAAAAACTTTCGAGCACAATTAAAAATAGCTTTGAAAGTTTTCATCCATTTTAATTCACATGTTTTATTCTTAGTATTGTACTCGAGCAAATACTACTACAAAAATTGGTAGATGAGATGTTATTCATATGCGTATTAGTAAATGTTAATGACCTGATATGGCCAATTAGATTTGTTGTTTAGAAAGATAGTTCAGATGTGAACTGTATGTTTTGTACAATAAATTCATATGTATTAAAAACTTAGAAACCGAAAGTAACGGAAACAGTGAAAAGAATTGAGGAGCACAAGCGGATTGAAGAAATTGAACGACGTGTGCAGCGTAAAGAGAAAAAGGAGAAGAAGCATCGTAGTACACATCGAAGCTATCATCACGATACGAATGGGAATCGTGAAGCGTACGCTCAAAGAGGCTATGCAGAGGGAGGTTTGACTTCACACGTTTTTTTTTTTTCTACAAACTTTTGTATCAATTTATTGGCTACTAATGTTGTCAGCGACAATTCTGCAAAATTTTGCACGAATTATTCCGGTTTTTGCACAATTGCATATTTCTAATGCCTTAGTGCATAAACGCTTCACTGCACAAATTTGCATAAATTAACATTGCATAAAGAAAAGTGCACACTTTTTTGCACCACTACAATTTATTGCGTAAGCTAACTGCTTAAAAGTTGAAATTTTAACGCATTTAAGTACACATGCAAAATTTTCAATTACATAATGCTATAAATAACGCTAAGTACTAACAACTTAATAAAATCAAAAATCTAATCCAAAAACTTTTGACTAATTTCACGATCGAAATTAGCAAAGATTGAAGAAATGAAGAAAGTCGAAAGTCGACAAGGACTACCCAAAGTCCGATTCGGAAACTCATTGCTTTATTAGAGTTCATACTGTAGGCGTATTATTTAGCCATCTTCAGGAGTAACTAACATGACACGTATCTACAAAACACGACCATTCTCAGTGGATGAATTTAAGCAGTCAGTACGAGACACTTATGATGCGGTTGAGAAAGCTTACCGTATTACTTGCACAAATTACTTTTTATTTTTGCTAAGCTGCTCATCAAATTAGATCGAATTCATCTTTTGTTATACAAAATTAGCAAAATTTCCTAGTTTAGATAGTCTCGACTTATCCTGTACTTTGAGTCTTTTATGTCAAATGTGCGTAAAATATTAATACATTAATTATAGATTAATAATTTTGTCACAATCACAAGAAATTCATAATTTTAAAGCAAATGAATAAAATGAATACCTGAAGCTGTATTATTTTTTAAGGTTATAACAGCTCATTATCACGACAAAATGGTTATTTGCCTAGTCATGAAAGTTACATGCGATCTGTGGTTACTCGTCGAGAAAAAGATAAGGTACGTGTTTTATCTGAAAATTATCTAAAAAAATTTCAGAAACTTTTAAAGCAAATAAAAAGAAAAATTAGAAATTTCCTATTCATCGAATAAGATTAGTGCTCGCTTATTACTGAGAATGTCTTGCAGCGAAATTATGACGAAGGGCGTCTAACGACAAATGGAAGCTTGTTGAATGGACGTTATGGAGGGTCATCGCTGTCTGATAGTCTGAGACGTGGTGAATTACGCTATAATCCCAATGGAGACATTCGAGAGGTGCATCACAATTCATCTGCTCGGAATGGACGAATTCACAAAAGTTTTTCAACTCGTTAGTGTTTATCACTTATTTGTGCCTTTATTTTATTATGCAATCTTTTGTTACTTTTTTCAATAAGAACTATCATATTATAAGTGACAACAATAGTAATAATATAACATTATCAGTATTGTACGAAAAATATTAATAAAAACATGTATCACGACGTTAAAAATATCTCCATCAAAGGCGATGTGCACGATTCTGGTTCAGCTATGAACAACTACGACAGTGATTACTATCGTTCATCATCTTATCGGCAGCCGACCGGTGCACCTTTCATAGAATTTCCGCCAACATTACCTCGAGATCGCGATGCACCGATGCCACCACCACACCGCACCCGCGTGCCATCTGATGATTTCTATCGTCCGATTATTAAAAGCCGAAGCTATGCTGACTGGGATGAAGGCAAAGGATTTACACAATCAGTCAGGCGGTAAGTTCTAATTTTTAGCTTCCTACATTATATCATAGTATTAAGTTGTTGAAAAAAATTTTTTAATATTACTTTTTTAATCACAATTTGCAGACGTGATGAAGATATGGCACGCTTGGAAAATGAGTTTCGTGATTCATTGCTTATGCCTTTGCCAAATATGCCAATTAATGCTGGTAATATGTATGAACGTGATCATCGTCATGAACAGATACCTGGTGGCTACGAAACTTACGACAAAGAAATTAAGAGTAATAGTGGTCGTCGCATCAATAAAGATGGAAATCCAACTCATTTCAAGTAAGCTTAAATTATATCATACGCAACTTAGTGAAAGGTTTGACTGAAATTCTGATTGATACTTTATCAACTTAAAAGTTTCAATTTATCAATCAGATAATGCAGAATTTACACGTGATTTTTGCAGTGAACAATCGCAAGAATACAGCTATAAACGAGAAATAGAATCAGATCGCAGACGTTAACAAGTGGAAAAAACATTTTGCTCGGTTTTTGTCAAAATGATATTCTAATTTTTCATCATATTATTATTTTTGCTATTTTTAAAGACTTTGATTGCAAGAAAAGATAAATGAAAATTTTTAAAAATAAATAAGAATGAAAACTAGTCGAAAATACTAAGAGTTGGTCAGAAGTATCAAGAATAAAAGTTATCAATCTTTAGCACTTCGGAATTTTCAAAATTCTGTTAAAAAATTGTCTAATTTTGAAAATAAACTTGCTGATTTTCAAATAAAAGTGGTACAGAATAAGTAGTGTTTCAACGTGTGCTCTTCACCGGTCCTTTTTCTTGCATAACAATGTTAGTATATTTGATTAAAAATAAGCTATTACAATTATTATTAGACTATTGAAATTTACTACACAAAGTGCTTACTCTTCCATATTTTGCCTAGGATAAAATAGTTTGTAATTTCTGAAAATTCTGATAGGTCTGCAAAGGCAAGGAAGTGAGTCATTCTTCGTGCTCATATCACTTATCACTAATTTTCAATTCTATTTTCATTTTTATTCAAAATTTTGACTATTCTATTCGCTTGTGAATATGCTGTGGATGTTAGAAAATATTACTCATACAATATACCAGCTTGTGTGGATATTTCAAAAATTTGTGTAAGCAAAATATTTGACATTTTTGTTTCTTATGGCTATCTGTCTAAGCTAGCATCTATGCCAGTTTCTGTTATTTTCAGGCAAAATTTAGTGATAATGTCTTGTAGCAAGACGTTGCTTTAGTATTACAATTTTTGCTTTGTATTACATCGTTTGAACGAACCTAATGCTTGCTAACAAATTAAGCTTACTTTCACATGCTCTTGATCATATCACTTCAAACGTTTTATTCATAATCATTATTTTAAATTTACTCTGCAGTTTAAATATATCATTGTTTTTGAATCTTATCAGATTAAAGCAGTTAAATATTTATTATAAGAGTTGTGATTGCACAGAAATGTTTTCAGCCTAAAATTAGTGTAGAAAGTCTTACAGTTGTGTCATACATTTTAAAATGTATAAATATTTATCAGCTTGAAGTAAACGTATCCAAAACAAAACAAAAGTAATAATGGCATATAGATTTGAGTTTAGAACAAAAATTCAGCACATTAGACAACTTTAAGCAACAAAAACACTGCAAAATTAACTCTGGCACTAATTTTTCCAAAGTTGCAGTCTTCAAAATGTGTTCGATAGTTGGTTGATTTTTTATTTAATTCAGAAAAAGTATGAAATACTTTAAATGCGAAAAGTTGTCCTCAGCATAAAATACACAAAGTTACTTACATAAAAGATAAATTGAGAAGATATAAAGTTCAGGTGTAAGAATGAAATGTGATGAGAAATGATAATTACAAGTGATAAAATCATAAAGGCTGGCTGTCCCCAGTAAGTCGCCTTAAATGGTTTTACGCTTAAGAGAAGTTAGATCGAGACTGCATAAATAGTTGCTTAAAATATTTTTGCATCGAATTACAGGCAAAAAAATTCGAAAAATTTGCTTGGACACCTGCTAATACATTTGATTTCAGCTGTACAACATAAGTTATGATAGTAGTGAGAAACAAAATCTGACCCTAATGTACGCGAAATGGATTACTGAACATGAACTACAAGAAGGAAACTTTGAACTAAAATATATCCATCTAACTTAGTCTGAAAGTAAAAAATGCTTCTCATAAACATTTCACTCTTTTTCAAACTCTCCACAGGCATTTCAAGTTCACTGCCAGACAAACTTTGAGACTAAAATTGAAATTCTCAATTTTCTAAGCACTACAAATATAATAGTAAAATGCACAGAAGAACAAAAAGTGAGCACACCGAAGTAACATTAATTAATTTCAATGCAACTTGCATTTAAAAGTAACCGAAAATATATACTACAGAAAAAAAAACACTAAAATGTATAGCATGTGTTTGTTTTTACAACTATCAATTTTACGAGCGCTAAGTCAATTTTCAGTATATCACTAAAAACAGGAAATGCGCCATTCAGAGCTGTTTTCTGAATGAGACTTGAGTTACTATCATTTTTCAAAAATAATTTACTCAAATAAAATTAGCATTTTATCGATTTCTTTGCTATAACGAAAATATAAAAAAAATAAGTTAGAAATTTATAAAATCCTCAAAAAATAACTGTT